GTTTTAAAAATCAACTGACTACATATGTGTGGGTCTACTTCAGGACTCTCCTGCTTCATTGATCTACATGTCTGTCTTATTGACTTGATTAGTGTAGCTTTATAGTAAGTCTTGAAATCAGGTAGTTTAAGTTCTTCAGCTTTGTTCCTTGTCAAGACTGTTTTGGCTATTCAAATTTCCACACTTATTGTAGAATCAACTTGTCAATTTCTTCAAAAATTCCTGCTGGGGATTTACATGAGATTACATCGAATCTATACTCATTTTGAGAAAAACTGATTTTAACAATATTGAATCTTCCAATCCAAGAATATAAAATTTGTCTACATTTATTTAGGTCTTCTTTCATTGTCCTCAGCAATGCTTCATAGTTTTCAGTATACAGATCTTACATATTTTTTGTTAAATTTGTCCTAAGTATTTCATATTTTTGGCACAATTGTAAGAGGTATTGTTTTCTAATCTCAATTTCCAATTTTTGATTACTAGCATATCAAATATAATTGATTTTAAATTGACTTTGTATCCTGAAAACTTGCTAAACTCCATTTTAGTTCTAGTAGCTTATTTTGATAAATTCCACAAAGACAATTTCCTACAAAGATTATCAATCATGTCATCTAAGAATAAACACGTTTACTTCTTCCTTTTCAATCTGCCTTTTATTTCTTTTCTTGCCATATTACACTAGTGAGGACCTACAGTATTATGTTGAATAGAAGTGGTGAAAACAGACATCCTCTCCTTGTCCTCAGTCTTAGGGGAAAAACATTAATCTTTCACCTTGAAGTCTGCTGGTAGCTGTTTCTATCTTCTGAAAGAGACTGTCGGGAATTGGTATAATTTCTTCATTAAATGTTTGATAGAATTCATCAGTGAAATCATCTGGGTTTGATGCTTCCTGTTTGGAAGGTTATTAATTATTGATTCACTTTCTTTAATAGATACAGGCCTACTCAGATTGTCTGGTTTTGGTGTGAGTTTTGGAAGATTGTATCTTTCAACAAATTGGTCCATTTAATCTAGTTTACCAAATTTGTGAGCACAGAATTGTTCATAGTATTCTGTTATTATCCTTTTAATGTGCATTGGATCTGTAGTGATGTTTACTCTTTCACTTCTGATATTAGTAATTTGTGTTCTCTTTTTTTCTTAATCTGGTTAGAGATTTATTGATTTTATGGGTCTTTTCAAAGAACCAACTTTTGTTTGCATTGATTTTCTCTATTGATTTCCTGTTTTCAATTTCATAGATTTCTTCTCTAATTTTTATTTCTTTTCTTCTGCTTACTTTGGATTTTATTTGATTTCCTTTTTCTAGTTTCCTAAGGTTGAAACTTAGATGATTGATTTTGGGTCTGTCTTCTTTTCTAAAATATGCATTCAATGTTATAAATTTCCCTCTAAGCAGTGCTTTCACTGCATCCCACAAATTTTGATAGGTTGTTTTCATTTACTTAAGAATATTTTTAGGCTTGGCATGGTAGCTCATGCTTATAATCCCAGCACTTTGGGAGTCCAAAGCAGAAGGAATGCTTGAGGCTAGGTGTTTGAGACCAGCCTGGGCAAAATAGCAAGACCTTGTCTTTACAAACAATGAGAAAAATTAGTTGAGCACAGTAGCACACACCTGTAGTCCCAGGTACTGGAGAAACTAAGACAGGAGGATTGCTCGAACCCAGGAATTTGAGGCTGCAGTGAGCTATGATCATGCCACTGCACTCCAGCCTGCGTGACAGAGAAAGACTTTGTATCTAAAAAAATTTTTTTAATTTTAATTTCTCTTGATTTCCTCTTTGACCCATGTGTTATTTAGAAGTGGAAGTGTATTGTTTAATCTCCATGTATTTTGGGACTTTACAGTTATCTTTTCATTTCTAGGTCAATTCCATTGTAATCTGAGAGCAGACATTATATTATTTCTATCCTTTAAATTTGTTAAGGTGTGTTTTATAGCCCAAAATGAGGTCTGTCTTAGTGAATGTTCCATGTGAGCTTGAAAGAATGTGTATTCTGCTGTTGTTAGATAAAGTCATCTATAGATGTTGAATATATATGCAGTTAATTGATGGTGATATTAGATTTACCCATTTCTGATATAGGTGTATTGAAGTCTCCAACTATAATAGTGGATTCATCTATTTTTTCTTGTAGTTATATAAGTTTTTGTCTATTTGTTTTGATGCTCTGTTCTTAGGCATATAACACATTAAGGATTGTGTGTCTTCTTGGAGAATTAACCCCTTTATTATTATGCCCTTCTTTATCATTGATAACTTTCCTTACTTTGAAATGTGCTATCTGAAATAAATATAGCTACTCCTGTTTGCTTTTGATTAGTGTTAGCATGATATATCTTTGTTCATGTGTCTCAGTCCATTTGTGCTGTTATAACAAAATACCACAGATTGTATAATTTATAAAGAACAGAAATTTATTTCCTCATAGTTCTGGGTGCTGGGAAGTCCAAGATCAAGGCACAGGTTCAATGTCTGGTGAGGACTGGGATCTCTGCTTCCAAGATGGTGGTGCCTTGAACACTGTGTCCTCAGATGGAGGAAGGAATGGAAGGGCAAAAGGAGATGAATGCTATTCTTTCCAACCCTTTTTATAAGGTAACTAATCTCATTCATAAGTACTCTGCTCTCATGACTTAATTACCTCATAATCCCACTTTTTTTTTTTTTTGAGACAGTCTCATTCTGTTGCCCTGAGTAGGTTGTTGTGGCATGTCAGCCTAGCTCATAGCAACCTCAAACTCCTGGGCTCAAGTGGTCCTTCTGTCTCAGCCTCATGTGTGACTGGGACTACAGGCCTATACCAGGACACCCAGCTAATTTTATATATATATATATATATATATATATATATTTAGTAGAGATGGGGTCTTACTCTTGCTCAGGCTGGTCTCAAACTCCTGAGCTTAAGCAGTCCTCCCACCTCGGCCTCCCAGAGTGCTAGCATTACAGGCATGAGCCACCGCACCCAGCCAATCCCATCTCTTAATACTATCACATTGGCAATTAAGTTTCAACATACACACTTTCAGACCACACCACCATCCACTTATTTTTAATCTCTATGTGTCTTTATATTTAAAGTGAATTCTTGCAGATAACATGGTTTTGGGTCTTGTTTTTTGATCCATTGTGACAATCTGTTAATTGGTACATTTAGACTATTGACATTCTAAGTGATCACTGCTAAGAGTTAGATTAATAATTACCATATTTGTTACTGTTTTCTGTGTTTCCCTGGTTTTTATTTTCCTATTTTTGTCTTCTACTTTTTCTGCCCTTTCTAGTTTTAATTGAGGATTTTATATGATTCTATATTCTCTCCTTTCTTAGAGTATCAGTTATACTTTTTTTAAAACTACTTTTTTAGTGGTTGCCCTATATTTTGCAATATACATTTACAGAAAATCCAATACACCCTTCTGAATCTTTCTTTTTTGTTTTTTGAGACAGTCTTGCTCTGTCACCCAGCTAGAGTACAGTGTGTTACCGTCATAGCTCACTGCATCCTCAAATTGGGTTCCAGTGATCCTCCTACCTCAGCCTTCCAAGTAGCTGGGACAATAGGTGCATACTACTGCATGGGGCTAATTTTTCTATTTTTAGTAGAGACGGTCTTGGCCTTGCTCAGGCTGGTCTTGAACTCCTGACTTCAAGAGATACTCCCAGCTGGGCCACCCAAAGTGCTAGGATTACAGGTGTGAGCCATGGTGCTAAGCCTTGGATCTTTTCTTTAGCTGTAAAATGGAATAGATTATCCCTGCTTACCTCACAGAGTTGTTAGGAGGTTTGGATAAATAATATACCTGTACTCTCCACTGTGCTTTCCAAATTACTTATTTCTAGAGGACCTTTAGGTTCTTTCCATCAGTGATTGATTAAAACTTGATCTCAGAAATAAACTTCCAGACCCAGAAGCAAATATGACTGACGACAATTACAGGGTTAATTCCCCAGGTGAATGTCTATTATATTGAGAGACAAAATCCAATCAGGACGAGCAGGTAGCCACCAAGCCATGGGGCCACTGAACTGTTTTGTTTCACCTGCGCAGTGTTTTGGAAAAAAGAAATTAAGTTAAATGCTAATGTTTAGAAGTCAGGATATTTCAGCCAAGGCAGGAGGATCACTTGAAGTCAGGACTTTGAGACCAGCCTGAACAAGAGCAAGACCCCGTGTCTACTAAAAATAGAAAAAAAAATCAGTGGCGCGTGGCGGTGCACGCTTGCAATCCCAGCTACTCGGGAGGCTGAGGCAGGAGGATTGCTTAAGCCCAGGAGTTTGAGATTGCTGTGAGGGAGCCCGGGGAACAGTGCTCTTGTCTCAAAAAAATAAAAATTAAGAACAACTAGAAATCAGGGTATTTCATATTTGGCATTTGGATTTCAGACTTCTGGAAAATGAGAAGACACAGCAACCCGGGGCTCTAATTCCCACAGGACCAGAATCAGCTGGACTGAGTACCTGGCTACCGCTTTAAAAGAGCGAGGGCCCTCGGGGGCAGGCTTGGGCGGGTGAGAGGTGAGGTGTTTAAAGCACTGCAAAAACGGGGGTGTAATAAATGATGACCCGCTTCTTAATTCACCGGGTGGCAAACGGAGGCGGAGGCGCTGACGGAGACCTAGGCTCGTCTAGCTCCCTGCTGCCCGGGGCGCGCAGGCGGCGACCAGAGGACTCAGGGTCGGGAGTTGCGCCGCTGGCGGGAATCTGCGTCCCGCGGACGCGCCCGGCCGGCCGGTGCTGCTTCCTCAGGGCGCCGCTCCCGGGCGGGTCCCCAACCCAGGCGGCGGCGCCGACGGGCGCGGGGCCTCCTCCTGGGCCGCGGGCCGCGCGAACCCGCCAGGGGGCAGCGCCCGCCAGCGCCGGGGGCCCACGGCGGGAAAGCTGGGCGCGCGGGGAGGAGCCGGGGGAGCGGCCCTGAGCTCGCGCGGGACCGAGCCCACGAGAGCGGCCGCCCCGCCCCGCGGCCAATGGGCGCCCGCCGCGCCCTTCTCGCCCCGGCCGCCCGCGCGGCGCCGCGCACTGACTGCGGCCGGCGTCGCCATGGTGCGCGGCAGGGTGTCGCGGCTCGCGGTCAGCGACGTGCGCTTCCCCACGTCGCTGGGGGGCCACGGCTCGGACGCCATGGTAAGCGCCGGCGACGGCCGGGCCGCTGAGGCGCGGGGCCCGCTGAGGCGCGGGCGGGCGGCTCCCAACTCGGGAAGTCGCGTGTTTTGCGAAGTGGGAGGCGGGCATGGGGGGCGGTAGACAGTGTGAGTATCCGAAAACTCCCACGCTCCTGGGTTTTCTTTCTGGTTGGTTTTTTTTCCCCCTTTGCCGCCGTTTAGAATGTCCTGGTTGTACATTTATGATTCACGTTTTGCTGGCAATGATAAAATACATAATATGCAACAACAGCAAGATGGTTTTGTTGGGTCCCCGCCAGTGAACCCCTAGAGTACAGCGCCGGCTGCTTCCGTACCGAGGACTTGGTGGGTCCGCGGTGACGGAGACCAGGGAGCCCGCGGCTGGGCGTTTTGAGTGGGGATCCTGCCCCGCCACAACTTGGCGTGTGACTTAGGGAAGACGCGCTCCTCTCTGGGGCTCTCGGGCCCACCTAGGAGATGAAGGTGTCACAGTCGGGCCGATACACCAAGCGCGTAGTGACTGGGTCCCGTGAGAGGGCAGGACGCCCTTGTGAAACTACCTGCAAACATGGAAATGTTTTGTCACCGTAAGACTTAAGCAAATATCAGTCTTAAGAGATGTAATAAAGTTACTTTGACTCTGGGACTTTGATTCCTACCTAATTGCTGAAGACTTTTTTGCTTACTGAGAACTTCGGAAAGACCTTCTCCCGCCTCCCAAATGCCCCTCCATCCAAATACAGTAGGAGAGTTCTGTGCAGGGTCTTAGGGGGCCTGGTCCCCATTACCCCCTAGTGAGAAACATCAACGTTAGGAAAATGGTCCTGTAGGGAGGAAGGGGGAATGGGGTCAGCCAGGGATCCCCAAGGACTCTGATTCACACCATAATGTTTTACTTCCTAAACTGAGAGGACAGCAGATTGGTGTTCATTACTCTATCTATGCTCTTTATGCATCCATCCAAAATGTTTGACAAAAAAGGCCTCTCATTTAAATGTGCTGAATAAGCAAATTATTAAAGGCAAAAGAATGTCGTTTTTTTCTGAGATTAAGTTCTTCCTGCCTTTTAAAATCCTTATGTGTCCTTTCTTATAGAATATTATGGTAAATGACTTTAAAAAAAATACCCAGTGGGCAAGCCTTCGTGGAACTCCAAGTGTTTGAAATTTTACTGGCTTGTAAATTCCAAACACCTGATCTAGCGCAACTGCTGATGCCCCTCTGAGCCTTAGCAGCTGTGGGTAAGCCACACTCTCTCCAAGCCTAGGTTTCTCATCTGTACGATGAGTGCAATAATCTTCACTTCATACCGGTACATGTAGAGCCTGACAGAGAGAAGACCTTCAATAAGAATTGTGCGTAATTACTATTTACAGATGGGGAAATTGAAACAGAAGGAACTGTGACCTAGACTTGACTTTGTTTGTAAAGTGTTAAGACAGCCTGGTTGACTGTGGAATAATTTAAAAATGGAATATGTCTATGGCTCTGAGTGGTATCTGACCTCAGGGTGAGGGGAGATTATCCGACACCTGTATTGCAAGTTAATAAATAGTTAAGCATTTATCTTCGGGAGATAGGGTGTATGTCATGTGCTGATTCTCAAGTGCCTTCTCTTTTTTTCTTTGAATTTTTTTAATTTTAATCTTTTTTTTTTGAGACAGTGTCTCACTTTGTTGCCCAGGCTGGAGTGAGTGCCGGGGCATCAGCCTAGTTCACAGCAACGTCAAACTCCTGGGCACAAGCAGTCCTTCTGCCTCAGCCTCCCGAGTAACTGGGACTACAGGCATGTGCCACCATGCCCGGCTAATTTTTTCTGTATATTTTTAGTTGGCCAATTAATTTCTTTCTATTTATAGTAGAGACAGGGTCTTGCTCTTGCTCAGGCTGGTTTGGAACTCTTGACCTCAAGCAATCCTCCCGCCTTGGCCTTCCAGAATGCTAGGATTACAGGCGTGAGCCACCGCGCCCGGCCTAATTTTAATCTTTTTTGAGACAGAGTGTCTCTCTGTTGCCCAGGCCAGAGTGCTGTGGCGTCAGCCTCACTCATAGCAACCTCGAACTCCTGGGCTCAAGCAATCCTTGTGCCTCAGCCTCCCGAGTAGCTGGGTCTACTGTGAGGGGTCGAGACATTGCATACCTGCAAGGCCCACGCCCCAGTGAAGCCGGGGTCGAGACATTGCACACCTGCAAGGCCCACACCCCAGTGAAGCCAGAACTAACATCCGGCTTCTGGAAACTGTTGCTTGCTTGCCATGGAAACCGTTGCTTGCTTGCTTGATTGCACCAACTTCGCATTGTTCGGACCCCTGTATAGTGGGGCTGCCAGCCAACCAATCATGTTAAAGGTCAATGCATGATCCACGCGTGATCAGCCACTGCATAGCGTATGCACCATAGGGATAAAAGGCACACTGCAACCCCAGTCGGGGTCCTTGCCTGCAAGAGTGACCACTGCGTTGGTGCTCTGGGGCTTGGACCCTGGCTAGCCAGAAAATAAACCTCCTCTTGTGTAATTACATCCTCGATGTCTCTGCTTTTCTGTCCGGTGGGGCTGTGGAAGGTCGATCCCTAACACTACAGGCATGCGCCACGATGCCTGGCTATATTTTTCTATATATTTTTAGTTGTTCCACTAATTTCTTTCTATTTTTAGTAGAGACAGGGGTCTCGCTCTTGCTCAGGCTGGTCTCTAACTCCTGAGCTCAAAGGATCCTCCTGCCTCAGCCTCCCAGAGTGCTATGATTATAGGTGTGAGCCACCATGCCCGGCCTCAAGTGCCTTCTTGATAGAATGTGCTACTTTGCAGTTCTCCATGGTGGTGGCTTCATGCACCCTCATGGCATACTGGGCTACGTTTGGCACTTAGCAGCAGAGTTTGCCTCCCTGATCAGAAGCAGGATATTTTCATGAAGGAGCCCTGAAACTATCCTCAAAATCTCCTAAAGGTTCCTGCTATGGTTTCTTATCCACCTTGTTTTCTAACAAGGAGCACTCAGGCCTGTAGGCATTTACTAGTTGCTCACTTATCCAGGCACTCAGCAAGCTTCCAGAGAGCTGCAGGGCTGTTATGTTAGCTCACAGCCCAGCTCCAGCGGACCCCTGGCCACCTCCCAGCAATGCATTTCCTCTTCTTTTCTCATTGTCTACGAGCTCCCTGGAGTGGCTCTTCGATTCCTCTGTCTCCCCTCCAGCGCCCAGTCCTGTACCCTCGGCAGCTAGAAGATGTCTAGTGTATCACTGAGAAGACTGAAGACAAATGCACCCTCATCCTTCCCTTTATTGACTAAGTCATGTCCTGCTGCAAGGATAATCTATTCTCCTGTGTCCTCCCTCCTTTTCATGACTGCGGAGGCTCCCATTCTCAACCCCGCCCCAGCCTTTTCATCTGCAGCCTCTCCTTTTCCATGGTTCCTTCTCCATTCCACACAGACAGGGCTTCCCCTTTTGGAACAGTCTGCGCTTGGCCCTAACACCTCTCTAGCTGCCTTCTGTGTCTGCCCCTCCTCCCCTAACTCGAAATTACTGCTCCATGCCTGTTGCTGCCGTCCTTTCCGTCTGCTTCCTCCTCAATGTGAAGTCAGCTTCTGTTTCCTTCCTTCTCTTGGAATTGTCCTCGTTATTTCTGCTTCCAGTGTCCTTCAGCCTCAGCTACATTTACGCTGTCTGCTGCCGCCTCTTCCCGCCATCTCTCCGGACCAGTGTCCTGCCTTTCTTACTGCTCCTCCTCCTGACGCTGACCCCTTCTTCCCTCTCTCAGGCTCAGACTCAATGCCTTTCTTGTCTCCCTGCACACTCCTATTAAGGGCCCTTTGCTTGTTCTTGGCTTCCAGTGCCTGCCTTTATGCCAAAGAGCCCCAGATCTCACTTACAGATCTGCCATCTCACCTCAAGTCCGGCTGCCACCTGGACCCTTCCTGTGGGGCTTCTCACCTTCATGCTAAACACAGGCTGTGTAGACCGGAACTCATCATCTTCCACCAGCTGCTGCTCTCTCCCTCTCACCCTTCCGGGCTCGTTCTGCCAGTCACGGGGACTCGACAGCTTCAAGTCACTTTGGGCTCATCTTGTCCTTCTGACCCTCATGACTTTTGGTGAAAGGTGACGTTTTTCTATCACTTCCTTTTTTTGTGACTCAGAAACTTCTGATAGCTCTTTAATTCTTGGCGTTTCCTTCTCAGCCTCATCTCAGCTCCCCCTCAGGAGCCCAGTGGCTTGGCTAAACCTGGTGGTCACCAGCCCTCAACACATTCCAGCCGCTTCCTTTGGTTTCCCCTTCTGCTACCCGCACTGCACTGCCACCTCGCCTAAGATGTTCTTCCCTGCCCGGTCCTTTGTGCCCCCTTCCCACTGCCAAAAGCTCCCCTTCCTCGACCCACCAGCTCAGATGCTGACTTCATCATGAAGCCTTCTCCAGCGTCGAGTACATTCAGCCAGTGCTCTCGGCCTGTCTTTCTTAGTCTGCGTCTCTCCCAGGGACTCAGCATGTTCTGCCTTAGATAGAGTTGTTGCAGCCATGCCTCCTCTGTAACTTCCTCTGTGGCGGGCGTGTCTGTACCCCTGCAGCAAGCTGCGCTATCTCTGATACGCAGTTGGTGCTCAGCAATGCCTGGCACTGAATTCCCACCACTGGGCTCTGACACCAGACTCCTGTCCATCATGGTCACCTCCCTGTCCCTCACCCCCACCCACCCTCAAATACGGGGATTTGAATTCTGCCTCCATAACTTACTGTGATATGACTTTGAACAAGTTACTAGACTTCTTTTTTTTTTTTTTTTTGGAGACAGAGTCTCGCTTTGTTGCTCAGGCTAGAGTGAGTGCTGTGGCATCAGCCTAGCTCACAGCAACCTCAAACTCCTGGGCTCAAGCAATCCTCCTGCCTCAGCCTCCCAAGTAGCTGGGATTACAGGCATGCGCCACCATGCTGGCTAATTTTTTCTATATATATTAGTTGGCCAATTAATTTCTTTCTATTTTTTAGTAGAGACGGGGCTTGTTCAGGCTGGTTTTTGAACTCCTGACCTTGAGCAATCCGCCCGCCTCAGCCTCCCAGAGTGCTAGGATTACAGGTGTGAGCCACCACACCGCGACTTAGACTTCTTAAAATTCCATTTCCTCCTTTCTAAGATAAGGATGATACCGCCTACTTTATAATATTGTTGTCAGGATTAAATTAAACCATGTAAAGCTCTTAGAATAGTATGCCTGGCACAATTAATATTTTGTAATAATAACAGTAATAAATTGTTTGCCATAACTTTATGCAAAATTCTTCAATAGTTGCATCCTACATCCCTTATTAACACATTCAGATCTTCTGCCTGGGGGGCTGGGCAAGGTGGCTCACACCTGTAATCCTAGCACTTTGGGAGGCTGAGGCAGGAGGATCACTTGAGGCCAGGAGTTCAAGACCAGCCTGAGCAAGAGGGAGACCCCTGTCTCTACTAAAAATAGAAAAAAAAATTTAGCTGGGCAAATAGAAATAGAAAAAAAATTAGCTGGGTGTGGTGGTGCACGCCTGTAGTCCCAGCTACTTGGGATGCTGAGGCAGGAGGATTGCTTGAGCCCAGGAATTGGAGGTTGCTGCGAGCTAGGCTGATGTCATGGCACTCTAGCCCAGGCAACAGAGCGAGACTTTGTCTCAAAAACAAAGCAGATCTTCTGCCTTGTTTTCTGAGATCTCTGTTATCTGACCCCATGCTACCTATCCGATTTTGTGCCCTCACGGGCCTTTTGTTTCTCTCTTCTGCAAAGGCCTCTGGATTTCGTATAGCTCCCCTTCCTGGTGCTTTCATCTGCCTCTTTGTCTCCTCAGGAATTCCCTCAAGTTCTACTTCCTCTTTGCTCTTCCTCCACCTTGAATGTCGGTGCTACTTATAAGCACCCATGCTTCAGCACACAACCTTGTACTCTTAGCTTGTTCTCACTTGGTTCTGTGAGTTAGCTTTTTCTCCCCACTGTATGATAAATTTCTAGATACAGACTTGTATTTAAAAGAAAAAAACTCTGCATCTCCCACATCAATAAGTGGCATTGAGTTTTGTAACAGTTGATCAATAAACACTTATCAAAATACTGTTTGATAGTAGAAAGTTAACACATTGCCACACTAGAAAAAAATTTTTTTTTCCTTGGGGCATGGTGTTTTATTACGAAAATATAGAATAGAAACTTTGAAAACAAAATGATCCATTCTAATTTAATGAAAATTTGTTATTTTTTATTGTTTTCTGTGTGTGACTTATATGCTCCCAAGGTGGAGAGGTGTGAATTACATATGCTTCATGAGGCCCCGGGCTCAAAACTAGTGTGAGTTAAATACAACTCATGTGGCTTTAATGTGTTAAAATAACATAAAATAAAACAAAAAAAATGAGTTAATTGGTCTCAAAGCTTTACTTCTTCATTTTTCTTTAGTTGTCTCCTCTGAACTTATCCCATTGTATTTTCAGCTCTGCTATAAACTGCTGCAAGGGAAATCAGTCCAATTTTATGTAAGAGCTTCCTGAAACCTTGGCTGCTTCAATGTAAAGCTACTTGTAAATGTAACTCTATTCAAAGAACTGACACAGCTAGCTGAGAGCGAAAACTTCTGGATTTAAAATCAAACCCCAATTTTTGACTCAAGTGCACTTGTTGTAATAATTTGGATCCTCCAGAAGGACATCCTTTTGTCCATTCAGAGCTCCTGTGTTCTTTTTTTTTGGAGACAGAGTCTTGCTTTGTTGCCCAGGCTAGAGTGAGTACCATGGCGTCAGCCTAGCTCACAGCAACCTCAAACTCTTGGGCTCAAGCAATCCTTCTGCCTCAGCCTCAACTCTTGCTCAGGCTGGTTTCGAACTCCTGACCTTGAGCAATCTACCTGCCTCGGCCTCTCAGAATGCTAGGATTACAGGTGTGAGCCACCGCGCCCGGCCAGAGCTCCGGTGTTCTTTGGGGTACACCAATGGTTCCGTCAATTGGAACTCTTCTTGCATAGCCCCTGAGGCACTGTCTGTCCTTATGTGAGGTCACTCTCATGGTTATTTTCCAGTTTCTCATGTTTGCCTTGCTTGGGTTGGGGGCATCTCTCCTGCAGCACACAGACCCCGACTACTCGGCTGCCTATGTCGTCATAGAGACAGATGCGGACGATGGACTCAAGGGATATGGAATTACCTTCACTCTGGGAAAAGGCACTGAAGTTGGTGAGTTGACAATTCCCTTATGGTTCCAGAATGCTTAATTTTCACTTAGATTTCAGTTCTGACCTTTAATTTTTTCTCTGTACACTACTCAAAGTGAGTAAAAACGGTGTTTCGTGGTTTGTTATTTATTTTGCTGGGAGAAATTAGAAAGTAGCAGAGTTTAGCCTTTCTCCTTGCAGTCATCTATAGACTGGTGCTAGAAAATCCTTGGATCTGTCTCAGATGATAACTATGAGGATGTTATTCACCTGCTTTTAGCCCTCGGCCACTGTAGAATATTTATAACCTGAAATAGCTGAGTAACCCACAGTGATGAGAGGGAGATGTGAGCTTATGTAGCAAGCTTACTGTTGTGTGCACAATCTACTCGCTTTGCAAAACATTTCAACTTTTGGAGTTGGTTTCTACTTCACTTAATTTCATGGCAGAAAAGGCCTTTGGCCCTGCCCAATCTCCGAGGTCTCGTCTGGAGAAGAGCAGACTCTTTAGGGTACCCACTGAGCCATGTATAAGTCGTTCTTTTTTCTTTCAGTTTTCTTATACTGAAGAGACTGAATATAATGTCACTCTTCTCAGAGCAGGGTGAGATCTCAGTGGTGATCTTGGGCTCACTAATTTTTTAGAGATAAGGAAACTGGTCTAGACAGCTACTTAGCAAGTCACAATAGAACCTCCTGACTGCCCGAAGCACTTTCTCTTCAGGACATACATTCATTCATTCATTCATTCATTCATTCATTCATTCATTCATTTATTTATGAATGAATGAATGAGAGAGACAGACTCTCACTCTGTTGCCCAAGCTAGAGTGCCGTGGCTTCAGCCTAGCTCACAGCAACCTCAAACTCCTGGGCTCAAGTGATCCTGCTGCCTCAACCTCCCGAGTAGCTGGGACTACAGGCATGCTCCACCATGCCCGGCTAATTTTTCTATGTATCTTTAGTTGCCCAATTAATTTCTTTGTTTTTTTAGTAGATATGGGCTCTCACTCTTTCTCAGACTGGTTTTGAACTCCTGACCTTAAGCAATCCTCCTGCCTCGGCCTCCCAGAGTGCTAGGATTACAGGCGTGAGCCACCACGCCTGGACTCTTTAGAACTTTTAAGTGCAACTTTTCTTGAATACATACTATGTGTGCATGGTTCAAAATTCAAGAAGTCCATAAAGGTGACCTTTGCCAGATCAGTTTTAAGAAATCATTAGGAGCCAAAGCCAAGTGATCATAGATTGAAGAGTAAGGGTCTGGAAAGGAGGGAAAAAGATTCTCTAACTTTGCTCGTGATGGGAGGCAGACCTCTCCCCTGGATATTTGCCCTCTCGATAGTTGTAGAATAAAAATCTTGCCCAACTGAGAGATTTTAATATTGTCAAGCAGATAAAAGAAGCATGAGTATGTGTGCGTGCATGCGTGCATATGTGTATGTGAATGACAAGGGAAGCTTTCTTGAACTTTCACTGGATCCTATTACAGCTCTTCTTGGGGCTGGTGGTCAGCCATACAACAGGTCAGTCCTTCACAGACTCCTCTTGAGTGCTCCTACTTATCAGGTGCTCTGCCGGGCACCCAGAGAAGTAATTTTAAAAAGAGAGAGCGATACAGAAGACATACAAGGAGCACACAACTTAATGCAGAAACAGACATAAAAGAAATGATCATAGTGCAGAATTACTGCACTATGAGAATACTGTGTGAGAATTACTGGTTTTAAAAAGTGTGTACAAGTTACACAGAGAGAAGGGATTTCTTCACTCTGTCCAGGAAGCTCAGGGAAGGTTTCAGAGCAGCAGTAGTGCTTTGAGGTGAGTCTTGAAGAATAAATAGAAATTTATCAGGCAGATAGAGGAGACTAGGCTGTGATTCAGTCCCTCCTTCCCCACCATTAAGTCAATAATTTACTGTTACAGTTTTCCCCAAAGTAGTAACTGCCGACCAAGATAGATTTGTGAGCTGTGTTTCAGCCTATTCTGCGACTTTAATTGTCCCCTGGCTGTAAGTTGAGTACTTTATGAAGCTTCTGTCTTTCTCCATACTGCAAACCCTACAGCATGGCCCTCAAAGGTAGCATAAAACTCAGGGAACTTACAAAATATATTATGGGATAGCCCATTGGAACCACTCTCGGTTAACAGCCGAGACTTTGAACTTTGCTGACTTAGGCACACATAGAGGGACCCAGAGCACTGACACAGATAAGCAGCTCTTCTGGGATGGTAGCCAAGCTCAGGGCTTGTGACCTTTACTGACCCTCCTTCTCCTCTCCCAGCCCCACCCAGCTGTCCTGGTGGACGACTCGGGCAGGAGTAAATCAATATCCATCTCTTCATCACTTTAATAAATGGCTCTTGTGTGCTAATGATGTTGGCTTCCGCCTTTTTCAGACCACAACATGACAGGACCCATTTTAACTTTAACCTTGCTACATATTTCAGGTGACTCACTGAGGTCTCACTAAATGTATTACTCGGCACTCGTGCTAAAGATGAAAAATTCCATTAGCTCATCCTGGTTCTCCTGTGGCCTTTATTAGCTTACCTAATCATTCTTTTATGATAAAATAAAAAAAAAAACCCAGAAAAGAGGAAAATAATGCTCTCTTTCCTACTGTGGAGAGAGTGCTCCTGTGCTTGTGTGTGTGTGTGTGAGAAAGAGAGAGAGGGAGAGAGATAGAAAGACAGAAGGTTGTTTTTTAAATGTATAGAATAGACCAGTGTGGGGTTTTTTTGTTGTTGTTCCCACAAGCCTGCCTATGTTCCCAGCATGCTGTGGGGTTCCCAGAAGCCCTCAGGAAGTAGGGCCTCCCGTCCCCATGCACCCATGTTCCCAGCATGCCCTGGGGTTCCCAGAAGCCTTCAGCAAGCAGGATCTCCCCTCCCAACCCCAGGGCCTCCCATGCCTACACACTTGTGATCCCAGCATCCACTGTAGGTTTTTGTTGGGTATTTTTTAACTCATGTTTTTGTTAAATTTACTTAACTATTATAATATTCATTTTCTCCTCCTTTGTTTATGGATTTTTTTAACACTTTTATTTTTTAGAGCAGTTTTAGGGTTGCAGCAAAATAGAGTTGAAGTTAAAGAGATTTCCCATATACCCCTGTCCACACACATGCCCGGCCTCCCACACTATCAGCGTTCCCCACAGAATGAACCATTGGTTACAATTGACACGCCATAATCACCCTAAGTCCATAGTTTATAATAGGTTTACTCTTGGTGTTGTACATTCTGTGGGTTTGGACATGTGTAATGACATGTACAATGTAGACCAATTTAGTTATTTTAAAAAAATAGGAAAAAGAGGTGAAAAAGGAAGAATTTTTAAGTAGACCAAAAAAAAAAAGCTATATGGGCTCATGTCACCACTAAGGCTCAGACACCCCCAGGCCATCCAGAGGCTTTACTGAATGTCCTTCCAGTGCTGGAGGGTCCCAGGGAATTCAGGTCTCTGGGAAGATAGAGTCACAAGAGAAAACCCTTGGATTGAGTCAGCAATAAGCTGCCTTCAAGGGCCAGTTTTTTCCAGATGAATTTCCCACCCGTCCCATCACACATGCAAACCTGAAGTGGCCTGTTCTCCACACTGGAGTCAGACACCACAACACAAATTTCTACTGAGTGTAGCACATTTTAGTTAACTTCTTACAGTAGCCTCATGTTGAGCAAGGAAAATCCACATTCTATAGATGAATGAATATATTAGTGCTACTTGCGCACTTAGAGCCATAAATTATGAGATCACCACTTGTTATCGTCATGCAAACAAGAGGTGTGCTTCAGTCAGGGATTTATAGCAACAAATCCAAGAGACCGAGTTTTGATGTAGAGAATAATATACTCCTATGAGTCACTGATTTACTCTGCAGGTTTTCTTTAATCCAAGAGCTTGACCATCAAGGCGTGAAGAGAATTCTGTCTCCTCACAATTCTAGGGAATGAATAAATGGAATGGAATGATGGTGTATGCCAAAAGCCCTAGAACCTGAAATGGCTGGTTTAGCCCTAATTGCTACATCCAATAGCAAGTCCACAGCCATCTGAGAGTTGTCCCACACAGAGGCCAGACCTGTCCTAAGAGCATATGGTTCTACTTTCAAAATGTCTTTCCCATAGGATCTGATTACACCTCTACAACCATCCTATTAAATGACCTAAAAATTTTACTATTGAAGGAATGGCAACACCAAACAAGTTTATCAAAACGTTTTATAATAAATTATTTGTTTTGAAGCTAAGTTATTTTGGTCACACACACATAGACTAGATGTTTTCTGGTTTGGGCAAAGAATCGAGGGTCTTTCCCATATTATTTGTTACTTATTCTTCATCTTAAGTAGCACAATAAATTAGCCTTTTAAAGTAAAACACCAAACATGAAATAATTGGTAATGCTGACCCAAATTAAGTTTAACCTTCCAACTACTTATTAAAAATGTAGTATATCACAAGTAAATCAATAGTGAGAAATGTAATATTTGTGAAAATGTTTCATGGACTTTAACATTTTATATTTAAACATTATGCTAATTGTAAATTCATAATTTAATTTATTTTTATTTTTATGTTTTTGAGATAAGGTCTCACTCCGTTGCCAGGGATAGAGTGTAGCATCATCATAGCTCACTACAACCTCACACTTCTGGGCCCAAGTGGCCCTCCTGCCTCAGCCTCCCAAGTAGCTGGGACTACAGGAGTGCCACACCTGGCTAATATTTCTATTTTTTTGTAGAGACAGATCTCACTCTTGCTCAGGCTGGTCTCAAACTCCTGACTTCAAGCAATCTTCCAGCCTGGGCCTCCCAACATGCTAGGATTATAGGCATGAAACACTGATAAGGAAAACCCCCATCTATTACTTAGCACATCAGCCACCTGAGACCCCTTCACGGAAGACCCGCGTCAGCATATTAACCTATTACCTGGCCCGGCAACTAACCTATTACATGGTGCATCAGCATAACACTAAACCTATTACCTGACACTTCAACTAAACTGCTAGAGCTGATACCCCACCCCTGGGACCACCTCAACTTAATAAAAGTGGGAAAAATCGGGTATACGGGGCTCGTAACTTGGTGGTGAGACCCCTCTGAGCCTGCCACCACTCAGTTTGTCCTCGGAACCACTCGCTGTAACACCACCACACCCAGCCTCATTTAATCTTTAATAGTGTGTTATATTGTTAATTCATGGCATTTTCTATATTTGTCAATAATGGAAAGATTTCTTTTCTCTTCTTTTTTTAATTCTGTAAATCAAGGCTGGGTATGGTGGCTCATGCCTGTAATTCTAGTGCTTTGAGAGGCTGAAGCAGGAGGATCACTTGAGCCCAGGATTTCGAGGTTGTAGTGAGCTATGATCATGTTCCAGTCTGAGTGACAGAGCAAGACTCTGTCTCTTAAAAAAAGAGTTTTCTTATTTCTTAGGAATAAGAAGAGACTTAGAAAATAAGTTTTCTTATTTCTTATTAAGAAATAATTTCTTATTTCTTAGGTAGGATGAACTACCATGAGTTGTCTTTTGATCTGATTGTTCAAACACTTTACAAAGTGAATAGGAAGATAATTTGGGAACATTATTTAAACCTGCAGATCAAAGGTTGTTGTTCAGTGACAACTAATCAAAATGTGTTTCCTCTATTCAGGAAATTTAGCTCAGTATGTGGATTATTAGCTATTCTATTTATGTGATATTTGTTATGACAACCACAGAAGACATATTTGTAGCAGTTTTAAAAAGCATATACCGGCCAGGCGTGGTGGCTCATGCCTGTAATCCTAGCACTCTGGGAGGCCAAGGCAGGCGGATTGCTTGAGGTCAGGAATTCAAAACCAGCCTGAGCAAGAGCGATACCCCATCTCTACTATAAATAGAAAGAAATTAATTGGCCAACTAATATATACATAGAAAAAATTAGCCAGGCATGGTGGCACTTGCCTGTAGTCCCAGCTACTCGGGAGGCTGAGGCAGGAGGATTGCTTGAGCCCAGGAGTTTGAGGTTGCTGTGAGCTAGGCCGATGCCACGGCACTCACTCTAGCCTGGGCAACAAAGTGAGACTCTGTCTCCAAAAAAAAAACAAAAAAGCATAGACCTTTTACATTTAAATTTTTTTCATAAAATGTTCACATTAGTTTGTGGTGTTTTCATGTCTAAATTTATTGACTTTGTATTCAAACATAAACAAGAAGTAAATCCTTTTTTAATAGTTGTCTGTGCTGTGAATGCTCTCGCCCACCATGTGCTTAACAAGGACCTCAGGGACATTGTTGGTGACTTCAGAGGCTTCTACAGGCAGCTCACAAGTGATGGGCAGCTCAGATGGGTAAGAGACCTATTTTATAAAATGCTTTTATAAGTAGTATTACTAAGGTCTAAGTTGTCCATGGATAGCAACAAATGTGAAAGTAGAGATGGGTATACAATTTTGAAGTAAAACGTTTTATTCAGATAAATAAGAGCTTGAGCCATTTAAATCATCAGTGTTTTAAGCTGATCAACTCCCATCTATAAGACTTGAATCTAATGTATTTGGCTTCTGAGAGCTATCTCTGCTCTTAAGTACCTTATCTCACACTCCCTAAGTTGGAAAACGTGGTCTAGTGGATAATACTGAATGGATAGCCTTGTTTTGAGAGATAATGTGAGTAGTACTGGAGATGCAGGGGGAGGTTTTTAGGGAGAGAAACATAAAAAAAGAGCAAAGTTGAAAAGATGGACGCCCACAGCACCTGTTATGTGTGTAGGTTGGCATTTGAACTGTCAGTTCAAGGCATGAAAACATGAGGCTCTAGAGAAAAGATTCTACCACAGTAAGATAACTCTAATAACCTGGACTTTGCCTTTGTCTCATGATGCCAGGTTTATCTTTTCTTAACTCTGCTTGGCTTCCTGTCCACGCACAGAGAAGGGCATAGGCGAATGCACTTACCATATTGCCTTAGATTTCATTTTTGACTTTTTGCAGAGCAAGTTAAACTGCCCTTGAGAGGTGTCACCTTGAAGAAGTTCCTACTAGCTGAATCTGGGACAATTGAAGCATCAAAATAAATATGATAGTAATGGCTTATAACCTATTGAATAAAATAAGAATTCACAAGCACATTCAGATAATAAACAAGAAGGGAAACTCATCATTACAGTAGAATACAAACTAATAAATATAAGGGAAATGATAACATTAGAAAATCACCATATTGCAGCCAGCACAGCTGTAATTGATTGAGGCCAGAGTCATCAATGGATGCTCAGATTTGGGGGCAATAGTCACTTCTTTATTTAGAAAAGGAAATGGTAACCTCACAGTGGAGACAGCAAATGGACACTAACTTACCCAAGTGGTAAAAGTTAATAACCCTAATAATGTTAATAAAACAAAAAGATATCATCACTTATGTAGTATTTATGCCAAAAAGTACATAACCTGAATCTAATCATGAAGGAAGTCCAGACCAACCCAAATTGAAGGATGCTGTATAGTCAACTGCCTATATACTCTTTAGAAATGTCAATAACATTAAAGTAGAAGAAGAAAAATTGTTCTAGGTAAAAAGACACGAGGGACATGACAACTAAATGCAATATGTGATCCTGGGTGGGATACAGATTAGGGTAAAATAAAGTATATTATTGGGAAAATTGGCAACATTTGAATATGGACTGCCTTTTACATAGTAGTGCTCTATCAATGTCATATTTCCTGAATGCCATCATTGTACTATGGCTATGTTAGATGATGTCTTCATTTTTAGGAACTAGACACTGAAGCATTTCGGGTTAAAAGAACATGGTATTGCAACTTTACTTTCAAATGGTTCAGAAAAAAGAATGTGTGTGTGTACACATATAAATAGAGGAAAAGACAGAAATTGTTCCTGCTAGTTCTGCTACTCTTGTGTAAGTCAGAAACTGGTTTTTAGAAACCTTAACCTTTAGGTGAGTTTCTATGCTGCCCTTTAATTCTTGACATGTGTCCCTAGCTAGAAGACCTAACTGTCTTTTCCATTTCTAAGTGCTGTTGTGCTTTGCTTCCCAACCAGATTGGTCCAGAGAAAGGCGTGGTGCATCTGGCAACGGCGGCTGTTCTCAACGCGGTGTGGGACCTGTGGGCCAAGCAGGAGGGAAAGGTGACTCATCTCACCGCCACCCCTGTGGCCCGGGAGCAGCAGGCACTGCCTTCCTCTATCACCAGCCATCTAGAAAGACAAACACAGAGCAGGCCCCCAAGAGGAAATACAGAGAATCGCTTTGATTTCTTTCTTCCCAGAAAGATACTGGTAGTAGTTAGGAAACTGTAGGCGCAGGAGAAAGAAGAGGGACAGTGGAAGGCACAGGCAGCCTGAGAGCAAAGGCGGGTGGGTGGACCAGATGTCTGACACACAGAGTTGTCACTAGCTCATTTACTGTTAGGAGAAAAATGGGTTCTTCACACACACATTTTACAAATCTTTTTTTTTTTTTTTTTCTTCAAGCCTCTCTGGAAGTTGCTTGTGGACATGGTAAGTAGAATCCTTAATATTGCAGCTGTTTCTGTAAATGAAATTTACGGGATTCCATGGGTTACCTGCCTTTTGAAAATCAGCAAATATATTCAGGATTGTCTATTGATCACTGTAGTGGTGATAAACAAAAAAACAAAAACCCCCAGTAAAATACGGTATTACTTTCCTAATATTAGACAGACAGATGGCTGTGCTCATGCAGGTGGTGCAGCGGGGCGCCTCCCCCCAATCTGTAACACGTGGTGCCAATTCCCCGAGCCTCCGCTTCCTAACTGTGAAAAGAGAGTCGTCATAACTTCTCAAAGAACCTCCTAGAGTTAAAGACCAAATGAGAAAAGTGCTTCATAAATTCTGGAAAGCAACATGTTACTATTAAGATATCACAGTGGGTCACGTTGACTCCAAAAGCACTCTCAGACTGTTACAGTCCCTGCCAGACGGTTCCAGCAGGGAAAGAGCTTAACACTGAGTTCTAAAGATACGCACTTGGCTGTTTTCTTTCCCCTTGGCCTATTTATAGCAGGGACGAGCACCTGGCTGCTGAGAAGGAAAAAACTCAGAGCAAGTTAAAGGGGGAGTGAGCTTCAGACCGGGGCAGGGCTGGCTTGAATCTGGGCTTCATAACTAAGTAGCTGAGTGACCTTGAGCATGTGACTTGTCCACTCTGAGCTTCAGCTGCCTCGGTGCCTTGGATGGTTGCCAAAACCCTGGTCCACGAATGAAGGCCATTGTTATTAACTGGCAGCAAAATTAATCAAAAACAAGGAACACCACGGCCTTGAGGACTGTTGGGCCAGTAGACCTCGCTCCTCCCCTAGAGGACAGTGAAGACAGTGAAGTCACGTTGTCTCTCTGACGTGCCTGAGGGTGGCCTGGGGGCCATTGGAAGGGGAAGGATGTGGACATCTCGAGCTGCAGTCCAAGCTCAAGGTCAGCTGTTCACAGAGGTGCAGGAGGCGAATGGGAATGATCAGTGACCAAAAGGGAATGATCTGAGGGCCACCAGAAAGGTGCCAGAGATCCCACCTGTGGACTTCCTGTTTTGGGGATCCTGTTCCCTGTTTCAATGCCAACACTCTTAAAAGAAGCAGAATGTCAGGACCAAAAGAGCTTTTAAGACTTTTGACAGGCCGGGCACAGTGGCTCATGCCTGTAATCCCAGAAGTTTGGGAGGCTGAGGCAGGAGTTTCACTTGAGCCCAAGAGTTCAAGACAAGCCCAAGCAGCATAGTGAGAGCCTGTCTCTACAAAACAATAGAAAAATTAGCCAGAAATGGTGGTACACACCTGTAGTCCCAGCTACTAGGGAGGCGGAGGCAAGAGGATCACTTGAGCCCAGGAGTTTGAGGTTGCAGTGAGCTATCATGGCACCACTATACTCCAGCCCAGGCAATCCTGTCTCAAAAACAAAAAAATTTTTTTTTGACAGAGTATGCCTGGTCAGCATAAGACATTAGTGGGGAGGGAGCTACCAGTTATTTTCTAGCCGACTGTTCTGTCAGGGTTGGGAGAGGACTCATCTCAGGGCCTGGCTGAGATGTCAGCCAGCTGGGCTGGTGTACTTCCGGGTCATCCGCTCCATTCCTGTCAGGGAAGCACAGTATCCCCCTTTGGCAGGAGAGGAAATGGCCCCAGGCCATGCTGCCAGTGAGCGGTGGGCCCAGGGCTGCCCTGCGTGGCCTGGCGCGGAGAGCAGCCTCTTCCCTGCGCAGCTGAGCTGCTCCGGTCCTGCCCTCTGCCCTCGAGTTCACCGCAGACGGCCCTGAGGGGTGAGCAGGTGTACAGGGGGACACAGGCATTCATGCCTACTCGTTTAGCTCGCCCTGGGTGGTGGCCTGGTGCCAGGTGTTCCTTTGAGCAGCCACGGCAGTAGCACCGGCTGGGGGTGCGAGGGCTCAGAGCAGGAGGGAGGACTCTGCCCTGAGGAATGGCGGAATCAGACAGCGCACACAGTCCCAACGGCCCCTTCGGGGGAAAGGGCGAGCCCGGTGCATCAGCGTAAGCGCTTCTCAGGAACACAGTCAGCCTCTGAATTGACTCAGGCCTTTCCCCTCCTGTCTGTCGCACTGCCAGGACCCTAGGACGCTGGTGTCCTGCATAGATTTCAGGTACATCACCGACGTCCTGACTGAGGAGGATGCCTACGGTGAGTTGTGCTGAAGCGACGGGACCGGGCGCTTCCTGGTCTGTTCTGCTGTGCGCACAGTGATGGCGTGCTTTGTTGTCTAAGAGGTGATGCTTTTTATCTTTTCCAGAAATACTGCAGAAAGCTCAAGTTGGTAAAAAGGAAAGAGGTAGGTTGTGAGAAAATGTTCTTCCTTGTTTTGCTAACATCCATGTTTGAGTGCCCCTGTCCTTCAGGGTGTCCTCCCCAATGCCCTGTGCCGGGCAGCCGGGCCCTCAGACGGACATTCGGGTTGTGGGACGAAGCATCCTGGGTGTGGCCTCTGACTGCACAGTTTGCTTCAGCCACTGCTACAGGAAGTTTGGCTTGAGCGTTACACTGTAGGATCCAGGAGGGCCCTAGGGGAGTGGGACAGCCAAGGGGGTGTCCTAGTCACCCGGGTTTGACAACCTCAGAATTTTCACGGCTGAGTGTGGCCTGGGGCTGGGCTGGTGGCTGGGTGCATGGGAAGGGTCAGGAGAACGGCTGGGTTCTCCACGGCAGCGGCCTAGCTGCAGAGAGTTCTAATCCCGAAGGTCCCTGGACAGTGCATTTGCCGATGAGTGTCGTGTTTTCACAGAGGAGCACATGCTGACACGTGGCTACCCTGCCTACACGACGTCGTGTGCCTGGCTGGGGTACTCAGATGACACGCTGAAGCAGGTGGGCATTTGGACGTGGTTTTGTGGACAGGCTGAATGCGGAGAAGATGGTTTTCCCTTCTGTACTCGCACTGCTACTCTCCTCTCCTCTCGGCACTTCGCTGATGACACCAGATACGTGTGGTGTTTTCCCACACAGCTAATTCTCCCATGTTCTGCGGACACCACCTGCGTGTCCTGTGTTGCTCCATTCTGACGCTGTCTGCATGGAGCCAGCATGAGACCCCGCAGGTTGGGGGCTCAGTCCCCCAGGACCGCCCCCTGACAGGCTCCAATGGCAAGGCTGTGGCCTGTGCTGCCGACCAAGCGGCTGTAGACGGGAGGTTCCCACACCCCCTCCTTGGAGTTCAGTCATTTGCTAGAGCAGCTCACAGATCTCAGGGAAGCACTTTACATGTGTTTACCCGTTTGTTATAAGGGATACAACTTAGGAACAGCCGAATGGCAGAGATGTAGGGCTGTGTATGGGGAGGGGTGTGGAGCTTTCATGTCCCCTCTAGGTATACTGCCTTCCCAGGACCCTCCACGAGTCCACCAGCCTTGGGTTGAAGCCTTGGGTTGTTATGGGTGCTTCATGACGTAGGCACGACTGCCTAAATCACGGCCACTGGTGGTCAGCTCAACCTTCACCTGTCTCCCCTCCCCACCTGAGGTCTGGGGATGGGGCCAAGATTTCCAACCTGCAGTCATGGCTTGGTCTTGTGATCAGCCCCCATCTCAAAGCTACCGAGGGGCCTTCAGGAGGGCCATCTTGTTCTCGTACAGAAGAGACTCGTCACTCAGGAGATGCCAAAGGTTTTAGGAGCTGTGTGCCGGGAAACCGGAACAGGGGCAGAGACCAAATATATATTTCTTCTTATATCACACAGGCTTCAATGTTTTCTTGTTAGCCTTTCTAAATCAGTCTGGATCCAAGGCCTCATTCTGAAAGGGCTTCTATACAAGCAAAAGCAAAGCCTTTGTTCGCCTTGTAGACATGGGAACTCTGTGACTTAGTCCCAGCTTGGGCTCTGGAAGGTGACAGTCTAAGATTTGACTCCCAGGCAGGGCCAGCTGCGTAACATTGTGCAAGTCACTTAACCGTGCCAAGCCTCAGTTTCCTCACTGTGAAATGGGGAAGTAATTCCTATTTCCTGGGGTAGTTTTGACGATTCAGATAAACACTATAAGTTACGTGATGCTCAGAGCACCATGGCGGGCATGGGGCACACAGTCGGCACACGGTTGATCTCCTCATGCTGTACTCACCTGGAGCTCAGAAAGCAGAAGAGGGAGAGAGAGAGGAAAATGGAGATGGGAGAAGGAGAGAGAGGGGAGGGGATAGAAAGGCTGGCTTCTGCTTGTTACTCTTACGTCCATTAGTTCTATGGGCACCACAGAATATTCTAGCTTTATAAAGAGGGATATTAATGCTACATTCCCCTTCCAGGAATGTTGTGACAATTAAAGAAGTGGTTCCTATAGAGATAAGGAAAGAAAGTCACCCTACAAGTAGAAACAGTTATGGTCTATTGCCAAGCTCTTTGTGCCCTTAATTTCAACAACATGTAGTTGTTGCTCTGGTTTATGCTCCGACCATAATGGTTGTGAAACTCTGATCAGAAGTGGCTGACGTCACGGTCAGACCATCGGGAGCTGTCCTGTGTGTGACGTTAGGTGTGCTCCTCTCCCCGCAGCTCTGCAAGGAGGCGCTGAGGGATGGCTGGACTAGGTAAGTCACCCGTGTGATAGTGGCCTTGGCTTTCCCTGTTAGCAGCACGAGAGACTCAGTGGACAGGAGGCAGGGGGCAAAACAGATTAAAGAGCTCCCTGCAAGTGGCCAGAGGTTGTGTCACAGAGGCTCCAGCTGCATGGACCCTGCTGCTTCTTAGATGTGCGACCAAGTCACTCTCCCTCCCCAGCCTCAGGCCCCTGCACCGTGGGAAAAAGACCATTCCTGTGGCCTTCCTCTCATGCAACCTCTCTGTAAAGGGCCCTGCAAATGTAGTCACCCCAACCAGGCTGTGGGGGGTGGCTCACCCTTATCAGCCCCAGTCTCCTCTTCAATTCTGACTGCAGCTTTTTTGTACTTCCTTCCTTTTCATGGCACAGCAGAAACTCAGTTAATTGCATTACAGATCTCACTACTCTCTCCAGTTCCTGCACGTCGGCAGGTGGTGGAGAGTCACTGCCCCGACACTGAGGAAAGAGAGAAGGTTCACAGGTTTACTTTCAAGTGACTTGTCCCAAGATTGAGAAAAAGAGCAAAAGGTCACTAGGAAACAGGGTCTGTGAATTAGAGACGGCCACCTGTGCAGAAAATCCAGGTGTCCGCCAAGGCAGGGACAGAGCTAAGCCACCGAAACAAACGCGTTTCACAGGTTTAAGGTGAAGGTCGGTGCCGATGTGCAGGACGACGTGCGGAGATGCCGACTCATCAGAGACATGATTGGACCAGACAAAACTTTGGTAAATATCCTCCCACACCTGAGAAATATTCCAGAAGCCTCTGAACAGGCCCAAAATACAACTCCTTTTAAGCACAGGTTAAAGAACATTGGGACTTTTAAAACTTAGAGGAAGTACAGCTCTATACTCTTACAGTAGGCAAACTCTTAAAAAAACAAAAACAAGGTCGGGTGCGGTAGCTCACGCCTGTAATCCTAGCTCTCTGGGAGGCCGAGACGGGCGGATTGCTCAAGGTCAGGAGTTCGAAACCAGCCTGAGAAAGAGTGAGACCCTGTCTCTACTAAAAATAGAAAGAAATTAATTGGCCAACTAAAAAATATATATATATATAAAAAAATTAGCTGGGCATGAGTGGTGCGTGCCTGTAGTTCCAGCTACTCAGGAGGCTGAGGCAGGAGGATCACTTGAGCCCAGGAGTTTGAGGTTACTGTGAACTAGGTTGATGCCATAGCACTCTAGCCTGGGCAACAGAGTGAGACTCTGTCTCAAAAAAGCAAACAAACAAAAAAACTGAGAGGACTAATAGTTTTAAAATTTTTTAATTCCACATAAGTAGTTAAATAAGACTAGGGTTAGGGATCAGTCCTTGCTAACTTGGATGCACCCAAGCCTCCCATTGGGGCCCCGTTATGTCAATCATTTCATCTTCCCTCCTAGCTCAGGTGGGCGGGTGTCAGGGAACCACTGTTGAAGATACGTGGGACTCTGGCTGAGAGAGACGTGAGGATCAGTCTTTCCTGACTTGGTATTTTTACAAAACAGTTCTTATTATGTGTAAAATATTTTCATAAAAGAAAGTCACAAGATATTTTTATGAAGTTTTAGAGGCATGTTTTCATAAAATAGAAGTTTGGGGTCCTTGACCTAGGATCAGAAGTTCCATTATTTATACATGAATTAGTGCTGCTTTTGTTTTATGAAGTCATCCTGATCCAAATAATTTATGATAAAAACGTCTCCTGAATATATTGTCCTCTGGTTCTCATAGCTTCATGTGAGGGAGCTCTTACCACCTAGCACATTCTATGGAGATTTCCAAGTCTGTGTCTGTCTTATCCAAGTGTGATAAGGTCGGGGGTGGAGGGGCCATCTCTTAAGCCAGCACAGCCAGCACCTGGCTTCCAGGAGGGGTAGCAGCACCCAGAGAGCCAGGGCCTGCGACAAGAGAGGACTAGACTCAGACTCCCTGTTGACTTGTTCTTGAGCAAGTTACTTAACTTCTCTGCATGTCAGTTTTCTCATTTGTAAAATGGGTTAATATGAGCTGCCTCATGGAGTAATAAATATCAAATGGGGCAAAATTCATAAGGTACCCAGCAGAGCAGGTGCTTTGTTAATGGTTGAGTTTAGGTAACTTATTATGCCAGACACATAGTGACCAATAGTCAATAAATGAATATTGAACAAACTTAGGGTTGACTGTGCCTAATGATTCAGCATGTGATACAGAACAGTTCCTACACACAGAACCAACACTGCAAAACACATGTGTTTGGATGACATCTAAAGGCAGATGGGGCCAGAGCCCCAGGGCCAGCGAGCACTTCTTGGGTGCCCAGGGCACTTCTGCACATCCCAGCAGCTGTGCAAACAATTCGCATCTCCTCCAAAAGATGGTATCCATAGCGGAAGTCTCAGGCTGCTCTTTGTCTGCTTTTGTTCACACTGCCTGTAGGCCTCAGCAGAGGAAATGTTAGGGGAGCCTTACTCAGCAGTGGGTGGCACTGAGCGACAGCACCTTCTCCCTGGGAGCCGCACACCTCACCATGAAGGGTCTGTCCTTGCAGATGATGGATGCCAACCAACGCTGGGATGTGCCCGAGGCAGTGGAGTGGATGTCCAAGCTGGCCGAGTTCAAGCCCCTCTGGATTGAGGAGCCAACCTCCCCCGATGACATTCTGGGGCATGCTGCCATCTCCAAGGTAGAAAAACGGCTGCCTTTTTTTTGTTTAGTTTTCCAGAGTGTTGGTGACAGATCCTAAAATGTCTTCGCTTGTTCCCTTTTACATTTCCTGATGAAGTAGCTGAAATAATTGTAATGTGTGGGTGGCTCATACCTGTAATCTTAGCACTCTGGGAGGCCGAGGCAGGAGAATTGCCTGAGCTCAGGAGTTTGAGACCAACCTGAGCAAGAGCAAGACTCTGTCTCTACCAAAAATAGAAAAAAAATTAGCCAGGCATGGTGACGCATGCCTGTAGTCCCAGCTACTGGGGGGCTGAGGCGGGAGGATCGCTTGACCCCAGGAGTTTGAGGTTGCTGTGAGCTACAATGATGCCACTGCATCACTACCCTGGGCGACAAAGCAAGACTCTGTCTAAAAAAAAAAAATTGCAATGTGTGACAAGTGTGGGAATTACAGACCTGGTGTTCTTTTATCTGCTTCAGCTTATACATAGCCCTTATTTCTTTTCATTTTAGAGAAAGTAAGTTGCCAAAAGTTGAAAGGCTACCAGCAATTTGAAGGTTAATAGACACAGTTCCCATACTTTATATATAATAAATATAGAAATCATGTAACTGATACATGATTAAAATACTGCATTTACCCAGAATGAAACGAGTGATTTCTCTGGATGACTCAGAAGAAAAAGTTTGCTTAACTAATTAATGTCAAGGCCAGGCCTCTCCAGGACAGGCAGCCTGTGTGTTTCCCAAGAGCCCTAGAGACAGAGCCACTGTAATCAGGGCTGTCTCTCTTCCTTTGGTTTAAAAAGAACCTGATATGTCAGAACATCTGAGAAACATTCAGCATCTCAGAGGCAGACTCCCATTACTCCGGTTTACAGCACTGATCCACAAGGCCAGAATGCCAGGTGGTTAATTTATAAAAACAACTATCACTTCTAAATTTTTTATCCTCTGACCAGAGCAAGCTCCATGCGAAGCCAGAGGCTGCTGGACGAGTGAGAAATCAGGGCAGGGAATGGTTATGGGATTTGAATATGCAACAGCATCAGACTGTGATGGCCCAAAACATCCAAAATTTGTACCTAGTCAGTGCCAGAAACCTATAAGTTTCAAAATGGTAGAATGAATAAGTCAAATGGCCCTTCCTCCACCCCCTTCTCTTCTCCCTTTCTCTTCTCTTTTGAGATGAAGCACTAAGGGTACTTAAATTAGAAATTTCAGGAAGCATAAAATATGAGTGAGAGAAGGTACCTTGGAGACCATCTGCTCAAACTGAGACCTGCAGATGAGGAGGTCGAGGCTCTGGGTGGCACGTGTGTGACTTGCCCGAAAAGATGCTGAGTAACTGCAGAGTCCCAGTCCCACTTGAGACTGGAGAGGGGTGGCTAGACCAGGTGGTAGTGAGTGAGAGGTGGCTTTCAGGTCCAGGTGAGAGGACAGAGAGCAGCAGAGCTGTGTCCAGGTGGAGAGTCCAGCACCTCGCCAGGTGAGGCGCTCTCCAGGTGGGCCGTGGCGTTAGCCGGACCTGCAGAGTAGGATCTGAAGCCACCCACTGAGCTGGAAGGGAGAGGGTTTTAGAATTGACAAAGATAGGAAAGGGTTCTAGAGTAGCCACTGAAGGTTTATCAGGGAGACAAGGGAATGAAGGGGAGTGGTGGCCCACAGGAAGGAGGCCTGGGCAGAGGAGAGCCACTCACCTTGGGAGGGACCCAGACGGAGCACAGGCCAGGACACTGCAGAGCCGCAGAGCCATGCCCAGGAGGGGGCTGGTGGCGGCGTCTGAGCAGCACTTGACTTTTCCCGTGGAGACACACGGCCCTCCCACGTTCACACACGTCTCCCTTGACGTCCTTCTGCCAGTCTTGAAACTTCACATGGCTCAACAGCAGGGATGTTTCCTTCTTCAGCTATAAATATTTTTGAACGTTAGGAGTTGTAGTTCAAAACTTAGGAAGATAACGCCAGGCTGCCTTCTATTTTGCAGGCATTGGTCCCGTTAGGAATTGGCGTTGCCACAGGAGAGCAGGTGAGTGATGTCTCCTCGGGGTCAGTACACGCTCACCACAGACTGAGGACACAGTCGTACATTAGGCGCCACCACCTAACTTGGGAAGTTTTTGTCATCTTAGAAAATGGGTCATTTTACAGCACTTCACTAGAGTCTGGAGTCAGATATAGTCAGAAGTTTGTGGCTTCTTTTCCAGTTCATATGGCTAAGGTCATGTGTCTTTTTCAAAGCATCTAATCAAAACTGACAAGGCAGCAGTTTGAAGTTGCTATCATGAGGGCAGAAGATGGTTGTAAGAAAGCCAGCTTTCAGATTGAATAAACATGATTGTGTTCACTCTTTGTGCTTATCAGCTAAGCGCAAGAGCTGCCAAAGCCAGCTGCATGCAGTCAGCCCACGAGTGGAGCAGTGCGAGGGACAGATTCTGTTTTCCCCCCAAAAGGAGCAGCACTGCGGTGCCATGGTTCTGTTTTGTCATCCGACAGCCACCTGCTTATTGTTGTCACCGTATTTCATCCGGATGCTCCGCTTCATCTCCCTCTTGCCTATGGATGTGACAGTTATTCCTTAGTAAATGGCCAGCTGGTGTGACTTTTTGACTCACACTATGGCATTAGATTTATAGAAAAGCGAGCACGAGGTCCCTGCCCGCACCAGCAGGGCTCACCTCACACCCAGTGAGAACAAAGAAGAGACACAGTCTGGGCTTCCCGAAGACCACTGATGAGTAATCAGTGGCGTGGAACTGCCACATTGCCAGGTTGAGAAAGCCTGAAGGCCAAGGCTGACGATTCTGTCTGTGTTATTTTTAATTCTATTTCTAGTGCCACAATAGAGTGATATTTAAGCAACTCCTACAGGCAAACGCCCTGCAGTTCCTCCAGATTGACAGCTGCAGACTGGGAAGTGTCAATGAAAACCTCTCAGTATTACTGATGGCCAAAAAGTTTGAAAGTAAGAGCACCTCAGAGGCTGCAGACCTGACCTCCCTTCCTCTGCCCATCAGACGGGCTCCTGTGGCTCCCTCCCTCCATGGTCTTGGGATTCACACGAGTCTGCAGTTTGCCATTTTGATTTTTTTCTCCCATTTAGCCTTAATCAGGGAATATTTGATGATTTTTCACCCTAAAGATTAACAAATGATTTAATCACCTATGGCAACAAGAAAAATGAGGTCCTTTCACCCCTTCCTGTCTTGGCCCTACTCTTGGCATTGAACAGAAACGCCTTCCTTTTAGTTCCCGTTTGCCCCCACGCTGGTGGAGTTGGCCTCTGTGAACTGGTCCAGCACTTGATCATATTTGACTACATATCCGTCTCTGCAAGCCTTGAAAACAGGTCAGTAATGTGGCATCAGCACTTTCTGCTACCATAGGGTCCCTCAGTCTAGGCCAGATCTTTCAGAATTCTGCTTTCGTGACCAGAAACACTAAGGACTCTATCTACTGGCATGTCCTATAACACAGAGGTGACGTTGGTTTTGTTTCCACTTCTCCACACGGGGCAGTGACAACAGAGACACACCAGCAAATAGTCACTTTTCCTTCTAGAAGGGTAGGTTCCTGGTGGCTGGCTGTTTTGTAAGCACATCGGAGGCCAGGTTTGCAACCAGGCTCTCCCTCCACCAGCTCCTTTTTCATCGTGTCTGTTGTCACCTTCTCTCCAGTCTCTTCTTCCTGACACTGGCGTAGTCCTTGGTCTGGCCGCATCTTTTAGTTTGATCTTCTCAGCATGGCCCAGGGGGGTTTTATATGAGGACAGTCTCCTTCTGTTCATCTGCACACACATGGCTTTGCTATTGTGCTGTTCCTGTCTCCTGGGACTAAATGTATTGCAGAAAGATCACAGAAGTGTGCAGAGAAGGCAGGAAACATGAGTGGGAAAGGGAAACAGCAAATTCGAGACTGTACCCATCAGGTACACCAGGGGTTTCATTGTAACGGTTTCTTTCTTCAGCTGGGTATGAGTAAACAGGTGCTGCCTCTTAATATGCCTGAACTATTTTTTTTTTTGAGACAGAGTCTTGCTTTGTTGCCCAGGCTAGAATGAGTGCCGTGGCGTCAGCCTAGCTCACAGCAACCTCAAACTCCTGGGCTCATGCAATCCTCCTGCCTCAGTGTCCCGAGTAGCTGGGACTACAGGCATGTGCCACCATGCCCGGCTAATTTTTTTCTGTATATATTAGTTGGCCAATTAATTTCTTTCTATTTATAGTAGAGATGGGGTCTCGCTCTTGCTCAGGCTGGTTTTGAACTCCCAACCTCGAGCGATCCACCCGCCTCGGCCTCCCAGAGTGCTAGGATTACAGGCGTGAGCCACCGCGCCCGGCCATGCCTGAACTATTTTATACGGTAAAAACAAAGATTAGATTGGAAAGAAACCTGGGCCCGCCCAGTCCTGAAGCTGCCACTGGTTACATGATCTGACAGTTCATCTGGAAAAGGTTGGGACTAGATTATCTTTTTCCCTTCCAGTTAATCTGATTCTATAATGAAGACAGTTACCACTCCTAGGTTATCCTGCTTTTACCCCAGTCTCATTTCAGTTCCTGCCTTCAGGACTAAAGGGTGCTTCCGCCAACCTTGAAATGTCCTGCCATTCCTAAGGGATGAGACAGAGGGTCACCACTGTGCCTCAGTGCACCATGACACCCAGAGCAGGTGCTGGTGCCTGACGCAGGCTTCGCTGCCCAGGAGTGCCCCTATGCAAGGAGCACCACCAGATCCCGACCTCACGTGCCGTCACAGCTCAGCTCTCTGCTTCGCCCTTCTCTGCACAGAACGCAGTTCCCTGTTCATCTTTCAAGGCCCAGCTGTCCTCTCCCACGTGGCTGGGTCTTCATCCCTACCTGTTCTTTGACAGATTACAGAGCACACATCACAGTCGATGCCTTAGTGCCTGTGTCCACTGAAACCAGGAGGGCCTCTCCTGCCATTCCTTCCTGTGCCCGCGTGCCGAACACACAGGCTGAGGCTGCCTGTCTCAGCTGGTCGTTAACAGGCCACTTGGCCCAGGCCTCAAAACTAGAAAGTGGCTGACACAGAAGTTGAACATAGAGTGATCTAATTCTAAAATTTGCACTATTTATCTAAATCATTTGCATAGCTGGAAGGAATCTCGTCTGATGGTTTTAACCTATTTAACTTTTGGCCAAAGGCTCCCAAATAATCCCAGATTATTTGTGGAGTCTGAATTGATGCTTTTAAAGGCCGTCACAAAACCTTCAAAGTTAAAAGGGACTTCATGGTTCATCTAATGCGAGCCCCCACCACGCCGCAGTATGTCACAGATGAAGAGCACCTGCGGCAGAGGGGCAGGGCTCTGCTTAGAAACACACGCGGTGGCACAGCCAGCTTGACGACTCGTGGTACTCCCCTTCTGCCTTAACGGCACCACAGGAATGGCCTGAATTCAGGCATTATCGCCCTAATCTGATTCTTTCCTCCTAGGATGTGTGAGTATGTCGACCACCTGCATGAACATTTCAAGTACCCTGTGAGGATCCGGCAGGCTTCCTACATGCCTCCAATGGTGAGACTCGCTGGGGGCCCCGCAGGGGGGACACTGCCAGCCGCTACTGTGCCCTTTCTTGTGAACCCGAGCACGAGCACAGAGCTTTGTTCGACTCCTTAAGAGTTTATTTTTCTGTATCTAGAAACAAATGGCTCTTTTCTTAGTCAAAATTCTAAGGCCTAAAGGTCAGGGCTTGGAGGTTACATTGCCTCTAACAAGGCTTCTCTAACGCAAGCCTTTCCCCACGAGCTGAGACCATAATGCATGCACCCCTTGTGCAAAAAAAAAAACACAAAAAACCCCAAACCCTGGCACTATCTGGTAAGTCAGTGAACTACAAGGTTTTACTACAATCATATTATTGCGGCCACTACCCTGATCATATTCAAGAGATCAGAACTCATTTTCACCAACAAAGTTTGCCCTATTATCAAAGGAAGTTTGATGAGTTTAGATAACTAATCCTGGCAAAAGTATGCCTCCTCTGCCCCATTTCAAACAATCAGGAAACTTTTAAAATATTAATCCAGGTGCCTCTGGCTTAGATTTAAAAGCATCTCTTGGAGCAGAAATACATAAATACAGTTTTGTTCTAGGTGGTTATTAGCACTAACTTTTTGTCTTTGATAGGATGCTGGCTATTCAACAGAAATGAAGGAGGAGTCTGTAAAGAAACACCAGTATCCAGATGGTGAAGTTTGGAAGAAACTACTTGCTGCTCAGAAAAATTAAAGTGAAAAGGCTTGGCTAGGGGAGGGGGGCATGGGCAATATAAGTAACCTTAACACTTGTACCCCCATAATACGCTAAAAAATTTTTAAAAAGGCTTGGCTATATTTTTTTTCTATTTTTGTAAAACTATCCTGCCAATCAAGTTCAGCTGAAAGCCATATTAACCTCAGGACTCAGGTCAGTAATCATTATTACTTGATTCTTTTAGCAAATCAATACGTCTTCTCCTATTTAATCCTTAAACTTAGATTTAACTACCCCTATGTCCAGGAAAACGTTCTTACAAAATTACTGTCCAAGTGCTGGCACCCAGACATTAAACTATACTTTGAAAATAAGCAACATGTTGCATAATTTGTTGGAACAATTCCTTATTCTATTTAATACTTGTCATAAATTAGCAGAATAAAAATAGTTCTGCAGCACCATGGGCTATCCAGTATGTAACAAAAAGGGAAAAAATTTTCCACTAATTAATATTGAAGTGGTTTAGCATCTTCTTCTTGCTCAGTCTAAGCATATTAGAGACTTCACACCATACTGATGCTAAAAAGGGCAAAATGTTATTTCATAGACTCTTTTATAGCCCTTAAAAAACTGTCCTTAACAGTCATTATATTTTAGTGATAAATTGCAGCTAGAATGAGATGAGTCATAGAAAAATAGGGCAAAATGTAGTATAGTCAGCATTTCTAAAATATATCCAAACCAGAATACACCACATGTTTACTTAGAAGCGTTTAGTTAAATCTATTTTGGGCAGGAACGGAGCAGATAAATGGCAATACAGAATGAAAAAAAAACATGGACAAATGCATAACACTTCTTTATTGTAACAATATATAAAATAAATTTAACTTTCCCACTACCTGTGATTGATGTATGTTAGCTCAGATTTAAAGGAATAGCTTGTATAATTCTTGAAATTCACCAATCTTCAGAAGACACGGGATTAAAATGCATGTACATGTTTTTGTTAAGAGCACATAAATATTCGTTCTCCTTTCTTCATCTCAGCATTTTCATATACCTTCAGAGTTTACCAAACCCAAGGCTTTTTATTAAAGAAATGGCTCATTTATATTTGCCAATAGCAACATCCTTAATAGCCTTAAAAGTTAATAACTGATAGGTTAATAACTAAAAGATTTGTGACTGAGTTCCTTCTTTTAGAGCAAAAAGAACTTTCACCTGGTCATCCAGTGGAAACCCTAAAGACGGAAAATATTCTTCAAACTCCTTTGAAAGCACTCTAAACAGCCATTTCCATTTTAATAGTTGGATGCGGATTATAACCTTCAATCTTAAAGTCTTCAGCTTTGAAATCATCAATTGTCTCAACTTTTCGAAGGATTTTGAGCTTCGGGAAAGGTCTTGGTTCTCGCTGAAGCTAAAAACAAAATAAGACCATTATTTTCCCTTATTTGTGCAACCTCTAAGTCTGTTCCTCATGTCTCTTCATAAAACACACACAGTATTTGATCAACAAAGTATTATCTTACAGGGGTGCAATCCTGTAAATATCTTGTCCCTGGTTACATAACACCATAACCATCTGGTTCTCAAGAGTGAAGGGTTTTAATGACATTATACAGCATCAGGGGCCTGGTGGCTCATCAGGTGTAAGGACACATTTATGATCACTCTTGGTAAATTTATTAAAGATGGGAACACAGGCTTTTACTTGTCTATCTGTAACTCAGCACTCTCTAAGGTCACTTGAGTTCCACGATCCCTATCCCAACTGTCCCTAGCAGACAGGGGAAGGAAAGATGACATGTGTTGACAGCTTACAGAAAAGGATTCCTGGGATGAACACACAGTGGCAATTAAGATATGGACACAAGTCACAACCTCCCATTATTGTGTCCACAATGACTGGAGCAGACAGCCAGAGAGAAGCACCCAAAAGAACCTGAAGTCACCCTCCACTCAAGAACAGCCAAGCTCCTGCAAAGGAGTAACTTTCAAAACCCAGATCTAATCTGGAAAAGGCTAGAAGGATTTTGTTCTAAATTTTTTTCCTCGGGGCTCACAAAGCAGACATTTTTATTGCCATTTCCAATAATCATTTGGTGGCTGCTATAACTTAGGGACTTGAACAGACTTTTAAAAGTTCAGAACTAAACACCATATTTGGCATCAAATTAAGGGAAAACATTTGCATTTTAATTCTCCTTCAAATAAAAAAAGGAGTTAAAGTGCCACCTCTGGGATGGTCCCAAATCCCCTAGCTTGAATGTGGCTCCTCTCTGGCTAATGCTTAGTACCTTACAGCACCTGGCATGAGAAATGGCTGGGACAGGTGTCTGCCTTGTCCTTGTCCGCCACCTTCCCTAAACCGAAGCCCCGCAGTCGCAGCACAATTGTCTTTATCTTGGAAACATTGAGCAGATGCCTGTTACACACAGGGATGTCCCACAAATCAACATTTTATCAAGAGAAGGTACCAAACCCAAAAGTGTAACACATAATTCTTACCTGAATCTTCAGCGGCTCGATGTGATTCAGGTAAATGTGTGCATCTCCCAAAGTATGAACAAAGTCACCTGGCTAAAATGCCATGGAAGAGCACAAAACAGTCAATGTCTTAGTTTCAATTCCTTTAAAACACATCATTTAAAGACATATTATACAGGGCATGCAGACACCCCAGGGCTTTACAAAAAAAATAACTTAACCAGTGTGGCTTTTGAGAAAAATCAATTCATAAGTTGCATTACAAACCACCTCTATAGACCTGTTAGTATATACAGACCACTAGGACAGGAAAGTGTAAAGTAAGCTGGTTCATGTCTCATCTACGTATATCAAATTTTAAAACTAATCAGAGACTGAATTCTCTGCAACTCGCTTTCCTGCGTTGAAGAACCGGAAGAGCTGAGTGCCCCAGGCTGGCAGCAGCCGTCCTTCCCGAGGGCAGCCCACCTTGAGCCCGGTGATGTGCGCGATCATGTACGTGAGCAGGGCGTAGCTGGCGATGTTGAACGGCACGCCCAGGCCCATGTCTCCCGACCGCTGGTACAGCTGGCAGGACAGCTCGCCGTCCACCACGTAGAACTGGCAGAGGGCGTGACACGGGGGCAGCGCCATCAGAGGGAGATCTGAGGAAGCAGCACAGAGGAGAACACGGAGAGGTGGTTTGAAAGAACACAGCTGAAGTGAACCAGGAGAGAAGCAGAAGCCAACTCTGAGCGCATGGGAGAGCCACGGGGCTGGAGGGACACTCTCGGCCCACACCTCCACAGACCTCCCCCGCCCCCGCAGCGACGGCACAGAGCGGAGACTGTCCCCGGCAGCACGAGATTTCTGCGGAGGCATGTTTACAGCTGAAACAGTGCTCTCCCATCCCAGCCAAAATGAAGAATTTGTGCCACCTTTGGGGCGCCAAACTACAAATGCAGCAGGAATCATTGCATTTGCAGAGGCCACAGGAAACCGGAGTTTCAGGCACACCCTCCTGTGTTAAAAGTCTCTGTTATAGATACAATCATTCCAGTCTGGGTACTTAACGCCCCAGTAGAGTTGAATTTTACAACATAATTGTTAAAAATGTTCATAACTGGCAAGGTTGCAGTGACCTAAAACTTCACCTGCTCCAACTTAATTTCAAATGTTAAAATCTTATCTGTAGTTTTATAGGCAATTTAAAGCCCCTTTTTGGAGTAAGAATGAGTATAAATACACCAATTAAGTTCATCTGGGCCCAACCCCATGATCCAAAGTTGAAATCAGGGCAAAGTGTGACTCGCCTAAGGTCACACAACTAACTGTGCGGCTGTGGGCAGTGCCCAAGGTCCTGCCTCCCTCTGGGCACTCCGCACAATCCCTCTGCTAACAATACGGTTAGGATGAAGAAGATGACTAGGTCCTTCCAACCTTTTGGATTCCAAGCACACATGATGATTCTTCTGTCGTCAGGGTTGGTTTTGATGGTATCGATCACTTTTTGCAGTTGGTCAACTCCTTGACCTGAATAATCTGTAGAATTGTCAAAAAAGAGGACATGTACACACTAATCACAGCACCGCATGAGATGGCTCTGAGGTTGTCATCTATGCCCCATGCAGGATGGTTCCCACACTCCCACCTAAAACGACACCACGCTTTGGCAGCTAAACACGCCACTGACTTATAAACATCAGGAAACCTCTATAATGATTACACTACCTTGTACTTTTCTCCCATTTCTGGTCTCTGGACTTTAATTCCTTGCCTTCCTTCTAAGCTAGAACTGAAGCTGAGAGGTGATTTGGTAACTGCAGCGCAGAGCTTCAGTGTATAATCTCCTCTGGTTAAACTTTTACTTACTGGTGTCAGACTATGTTCTGGTTCAGCAGTTCTCAAATTTTTTTTTTTGGAGGAAAGTCCTCTCCCAGTCACAGTTCCAAAAGACGTAGTATCAAAGATTTACAAAAGATGAACTGCGATGGAATAGTTCTATACCTTGATTGTGGTGGTAGTTACATGAACCAACCCACAAACAGCATGTAAAGCTAGCAAAATCTGATGTCTTTGTGGATTACACCAATGTCAATTTATGCAAGACGCCACACCCAGGACAATACCTTTGGGGAAAACTGGGTTAAGGGTACAGGGGACTTCTCTGTACAGTTTTTCTTTTGTAATTCCCTGCAAATCTGTAATTATTTCAAAATAAAAATTTTAAAACAAAAAAGAAACTCCCCTACTGAAATCCAATAGCTGAACATTTATACAACTGCAAACTAAGGCCATAATTTTATTAGGCCCCTTAAGCAACAAGAAATAATCGAATACCAGGCAGGAGTTAAGGCACCATTAAGCCAGGGGAGCACCCTCATATCCTAAGAAGGATGCCCTAAGACACGGGGGCAGACTAACACCTACAGAACATTTACCTGCAGAAATCGTTTGGCCCCACATAACTTTTTTCATTTTGATAAAGTATATGTACCATTAAATTTACCATTTTAGCCATTCTTAAGCATGCAATTCGGTGGCATTAAGTACATTCCTAATGTTGTAAAACCATCACCACTATCCATCTCCTGAACTTTTCAGCAGTCTGTACCCACTAAAACTTCCCATAGTTAAAAGATCTCATGATTGCACACAAAATGCATTTTAGGCTTTTATTGAAAACTTCTAACACGGGGCCCAAACCCCTCCAGCTGGCTGAGGGTGAGACGTGACTGTCCCCTTTAGGTGAGATGCATATCCCCCAGGTTGCTGGTTCCTGCCGAGCCAGTAAATTTATTTCCTGAGCATGTGCACACCTCCCCCAAGGTGGGCATTTGCTTCTCCTAAGGACAAGGCAGAGGCTGGGCTCTGTGACACTCAGCAAGTGGTGCCACCGACAGTGACAGAGGAAGGTGGAAGAGATGTTTCATCATTCTTCCACCCCAGCAGAAAGGGAGGAGGGCGACCTAGGCATGGTGCTATCACACCAGCGCCACCTACAGTGTGCGGTGGCTCAGCCTCCAAAGGGGAGATGGAAGCTGCCACAAGGCAATGGGGCATCTTTGCCACCCATGAGGAAGCTTCCTTCTACTCCTCAACACTTACCACACAGCTATCTGCCCATGACACAGGTAAGGAAAGTGCCAAGCAGGGACCCAATCAATGCTAATCACCAAGAGTGTGACACGACCCCAACCTTAAAATTAGGGTTTAGTTGGGCTCTCCACTTTTTTACCTGGCACAGCCTCTCACCACAGCCAAGATAAACATCAGTG